TTAACCTCTGCTTGAAGAACCCCAATAAGAAGAAAGCCACTAATTTTTGAAGCAATGCACTCATCCACTTAGTTTTTCCTGTGTGTACAAACAAGTAAAACTTTTGCATTCTTATGGATCTCATTTTAGAGGCTCTGAAATATTGTGGGTCTTTAGACAATTATCACAATGCCATCCATAAATAGAGGCATCTGGAAGACCTCACTATGAATAAGAAATTCTTCCACTTAGACTCCGCCCTAGACATCCTCCCTGGTAGTGGCAAACACCTTTAGTAAACACAGATTTCCCTGTTTTATGCCTTGTTGGATATTAATAATCATAGCATTGTTGAACAAATGAATCTTACATAGTTTTTATATATTCATGGGGAGACACCTCATTGGCAAAAAGCTTTTAAGGCAGTGTTTTGGTTTTTTTTGTTCTACCAAGTACTCAACCAACAATAGGTATAATTAATACTGATATTATCTATATATTTCAACCAATAGTGTAAATAAAGATATGGTCTGGTCTAAAATACTATTCATCACAACTTGCTTGTTTCCTTCTCATGCCTTTGTAATAAATGCCCTCAATGTACGTATAAATTATTCTTATAAAATTATGTATGCATTAGTTGTTACTAACATTCTTTTGGTAACATTGTTTTAGTTATCAAAATCCAAAATTTTTGCCATGCTTTTGGTATCCTTCCCTTTCAGATACTTTGAGAAGGAATTATTCAACACACTCAAAAATCTCTTCAAGTGTGGATTTACCTTCCTTACATTTGTTCTAGTTCACTTGCTCTTCCCCTCTTTGTTTTCTTCTACACTATTAACACTTCTTCATGCAGTATGTCTGGTGAACTTCTTGAAAGTAGGGACTGACTGTCTTTACCTCTTTTTTGTATCCCCAGTGCTTAGCATAGTGCCTGGCACATAGTAGGTACTTCATAAATGTTTACTGACTGACTGGTATTGAGTCCACTGTCCGTGATGGTGAAAAAAGTGTTATAAAAAAAAACTTTACATATTTTATCTTTCATCTATTTGTTGTATTCTTGTCAGTTTTTTCTCTAAAAGTCATGGAGATGATTTCACTTCATTGTGGTTTGAGCCCCTGTATTTTCATTGTTTATTGCTACTTTATAAAGTGATAATGCTCATAATCTTCTACTATCTTCTTCTATAAGATCTGAAGAATGAGTTTACATCCTTAAACCAATGATGCTCTTGGTGATCATCTCTTTCTTGTTAAGGGGATCAAGTTTTTGCTAGAGTTTTCCTCTCTGAGCGTACCTCTCATCTACTATGAATGCATCTTGTATGTATCAATTTATAGGTTGTTTCCCCCATTAGGATGTAATCTCTTTGAGTTCAAGGGCTATTTTTGCCTTTCTTTGTATCTCAAGCTTAGTGCAACACCTAGCAAATAGTAAAAGGTTATTCAAAATTTGTTGATTCATCCATTAAGTCAGTCAATTTCCAAGCTTTTTTTGTCCTTATTATGGAAATGGTTTGTCAATGTTCTTTCCATTTCCAATTTTTAAGATCAATAGTTTCTTCAAATAGATCAGCTTATTTTGATTATATGCAGCCACATATTTTTCTCATTTTTGTTTTCTCAAGTTTTAGGTCAATTGTTCTCTTTGCTCTAACTAGTGATTCTAGAATGATACCCACATAAATTCCTTGTCTATTCAATTATAATTAACTTCATTTTATTTTGTGCTCTCCATATACAGTGCCTCTCACTTTTTTCTCAAAGAAAATATAAATAATATCTTGAAATAAGCTTTTGTGTAGTTTTCTCTGATTTCTTACCCCCTAAACCATATATTCAACACTTTTTTTTTGCTATCTTCCCAGATGTCCACCTTTGTACTGAAATCAAAGAACCTAGTATATTTTGATTTAACTTGAAGTATTTTATCATGTCATTCATAGAATTTCTCTATTTCTTCATTGCCTGAAACGGATGTTAGGACACAAGCTACAATTACTTTTATCATTATCTTTGCAAATGTCTATAAAAAGCTCTGTAATGATAAATAACCAAAAGACCATGAATAAAATGAAACGAAATGTTTCTTTTTGCCTCAGAACATACAACAAAATCAACTTGACCAATTAGGTTAATTGAATCATCTATTTGAAAAGAACTTGTAAGCCATCCTTTCATTTAGCTACAACTTCCTTTTCTTTTCTGGCTTCACGTAAGGAACAAATGCCAAGATTCACAAATTCCAGTAGGACTCTAGCCCCTAGATAAGGATCTCATATTTAGAGTGCAAACAGTGATGTTTATAAATGCTGTAAAAACTGTCCAATTCATAATAATCTTAGAGAGATTACATTTGTTAAGAGAGGGAAAGAAACGAACATGAAATACTGGAAGAGGTAGAACTGACAAAAACTGACAGACAATTAAAATTAGGAGATAAGAGAGATGAAAAAAATCAAAGATAATTCAGTTTTGGAATTGTTGGATTTGAGCAGCTAGAAAGAAATGAAGTTAGAGAATTCCTATAGGTAGCTGCCAATACAAATCAAAATCTTGGAAGAAAGTCCATGGCTAAAGAAACAGATCTGTTCCTCCTCTGCATAAAGCTGACAGTTGAAGCAATGGCAGAAAGTAAACTGTCAAAGAAGAATTTTTATAGAAAAAAAGCAGATATTAAAACTTTAAGAAGAAAAGCTAAGAAAGATAACAAAACCAGAAGGATGTCTTAGAAACCGAGAAAAGAACATTTAGATGGAGGTGATAATTAAAAAAGTAAAATGATGTATAGAATTCAAAAAAGATGAGTAGTACAATCAGGTCATTGGATTTGGTAAAGTGGTTATTATCAACCTTTAAAAAAAAAAACAGTTTCAGTAATGTTGGGAAAGAATACAGATTTCAAAGGGCTTCTGAGGGGAGGAGGGAGGAAGCAGTTTACTTCAACAACAACAGGGAACCTTATAAAACTGAATTTCAGCAAAGCATTTGACATTAACATTGAGCTACAATAGTATAGTTAGATAGTTCCACAGATCTGTAACTGCCTGAAGGACTAGATCTCAAAAACAGTAAATAACAGGCTACTGTCAACAGGCTTCATGTCTGTTACTTCTTTCCAAGCTTAAGTACCAACTCTTAAAGGAAGTCTTCCCTGATGTACCCTTCTCACTCTCCCCTTTCTTAAATTATCATTTATTTACTTCTCGGTTTACTTGAACAGTAAATTCATTGACAGCAGAAGTTGTTTTCTATTTTTGTCTTTGTATCCCTAGCACCTTTTGCAGTGCCTTTATAAATAATATGTACTTAATAAATGTTTGCTGAGTTGGAGATAGATGTCTAGTGGAATGCTTGAGGGTTTTATACTTCCTTGTTTAACATATTTGTAAATTACTTACATGAAGGCATAGATGGTGTAATTATTAAATTTATAGATAACATGAAACTACAAAGCATAGTGAACTCACAGTGAACAGGTAACAGAGTCAGACTAGAGTACATGGATGAATTTGAATACAAGTAAATGTAAATTCACCACTGAGTTTAAAAAAATCAAATATCTAAGTTTATAATAGAGTATGTATTCATGTAGATAATATTCCATTATCTTTATGCCATTTTGTTATAATTGACTAGTATTTCATCCATACTTTAACTGAGAATGCTTTCTAATCATTCTAACCATCTGCCATAATTATTATCTATCTATAATTCATTTTGATACACAAATATAAAGTATCTTCCTGAATATAATCAACATCCACACAATTACAGATATTTAAAATACTGATATGGTCTGTTTGCTTGTGTTTTCTTTGTATATACCTGCATTATGGTATTTTAAGTCTTATCTCCATGAGTGGGTTTCATTCTTTCACTTAACCATAGATTAACCATCGAACCTGACCAACCCACAAATTTGTTATATTTAACAACATGGTAGATAGGAACAGATTTTCAGATGGATAGCCAACGAAGGCTTCTTTCAAATTTCAATGAAATAGTACATCTAGTAAATCATACATTCATAGCCCCTAATACATTATTAGCACTACTAAAAAAAAATCATTCAAAGGACATGCAGAGGGTCATTTGCATCATCTTCACAGTTGAAAGACAGTAATACAGTGAACAGTAACAATTACTACTATTTTTATTAAAATATTCAGTAATTTTAGTTCAAAAGCAATTTATTCACCTATTGTTAATCCTTTATGTTTGAGGACCATAGCTGAATCAATAATTCACATATGTCATTACCCAATTTGTATCCGATGGTGCCGTTATTCCCCCTCCTTGAAAAATATTTCATTATCTTTATTACATTTTGTTATAATTATCTTAACTAGTATTTTACCCATACTTCAACTGAGAATGTTTTCTAATTGTTCCAACTATCTATCATAATTATTTTCTATCTGTAATTATTTTGGTATTTTGCTGAATGTAGTCTAATCACTAGCATCCTACTACGCCCTCTTTTTAAGCCTTATAGGTTTTCTCAAAATTTGGTTCCTAAGACTTTAGCCTCTGGTTGAATTTGCTCTTCTGTATCAAGATTATTCCTTAAATCAAATAATTCAATTCTTATTCTTCAGCTTACCTATAATTTTCCTATTATTTGCCTCCACTGCATATGGAATACATAATTGCAAATTTTTTTTTTAACATCATTTTTTTTTCCTGGTATACCTACTAATTCTGGAGAAGGAACATCTACTCCCAGTAACTACTTAACACCTAATGGAAAATTAAGTACTACTACAGAAAAAAGTTCAATATAAATTAAAGAAAATATGAGCATTAAGTAATTAAGTAATTAATTTATTACATTAGGCATAGCAACAAGTTTTAAATTACAAGTAACAAATTATTAAACTGTTAATAACTAATATTTACATTATTAAATCCAAATCTCTATCCAAATAATAACATATATACAAGGGGATCCCAAGAAATTTTTAAATGGTTTCTTCTTTCTCAATTTATAAAACTATACATAAAATACTTACTGTCTGAGCAGCTGTCTCCCTTGTTTCCACATTAACTGACTATTTTGTTGTGGTTGTACCTCTGTTTCATTGCCTTCATCTGGAAAACATTGAATCATAATAAAATTGACGTTTTATATTTCAGAGGACATCTCAATTTACAATAAAAACAATAAAATTTATAAGATTAAGAATATAAGCCAGCAATGATAAATATTTTAAAAGATCCATGTAAAATCTATTTTAACACCTGGTTTCCATCACTCAACTCTGATATAAAGATTTTTATTGTTGTTCAACTCTCTTCATAGCACCAGAATTGCAAGAGAGATTTCTTCCCTACCTTAAGCTGGACTGGAGATTTTCTTCCCCAAGAATGAACACTTCACAAAAATAAATTACACAAATTGTATCAAAAAAGTTTGGCTAGTCTGATAATTTACTTTCAACAAGATTAAAACCACCAAATTAAAAGTCTGATAGACAAATGAATTTGGAAAACATATTAGGAAAAAACTATGAATATCAGATACTTTCAATTCAAACACATTATGTTCGTTAAACTGTCAATTTAAAATCAAAAGCATCACTTTGAAGATGATCCTTGACAAAACATTTATCTTTAGAACTTGCATTCAACATTAGGCAACAACTATCACTTTAAAAAACTTTTTCTTATCATGAAGGCAATCATTAACATAAAACACAAAGAATATGAAAGAGGCTTATATGGGTACCTGAACTTTTGTTTGTTGTTGTTCAGTTGTTTTTCAGTCATGTCTGACTCTTCAGGACCCCTTTTGTGGTTTTCTTAGCAAAGATACTGGAATGGCTTGCCAGTTTCTTCTCTAGCTCATTTTACTGATAAGGAAGCTGAGGCAAAGAGGATTAAGTGATTTGCCCACGGTCGCACAGCTACTAAGTGTCTGCGGACAGATTTGAACTCAGGAAAAAGTCTTCCTGATTCCAGGCACAGGACTCTAACCACTGCACCACCAGGAGTGGGGAACCTGCAGCCTCAAGGCCACACTACCACCCATAGCCACATACATACCCTGTCACCAAATAGAGGGCAGAACCTCATTCCCAACAACTTATGTATAGTTCAATAAAACAAATTAATACAAATGCCATTTCTTAGAAAGCATAATATGGGTAAGAGGAGTAACAAAGGGGCAGCTTGGTGGCATAGTGGATAGAGCTCTGGCCCTGGAATCAGGAGGACCTGAATTCAAATCCAAACTCAGACACATGACACTCACTAGCTGTGTGACCCTGGGCAAGTCACTTAACCCCCACTGCCTCGCCCAAAAAAAAAAAAGAAGTATTGAAGTCTAACATAGTTTTCAAATTATGTCACAGAACGAAAGTGAAAGCATTTTTTTCTAAGCTGTCTTGATAAAGCAACTTAAAACCATTAACCTTAATTGTCTCAATCATTCAAATGAGGATGGAATAAGGAAGATTTTTCCTTTTAACTACTAAAGTTTGATCAATATTTCATCATATCCCCAACATTATAGGAATGAATATATATGCATATACATATATACATATATAATACACACGTAGGTATATGTCTGTGTATGTATTGAAAACTAGGCAGTTGCTGTCTAATGTTGAATAGATATACTCTGTTCCCTTGGCAATTATGCCTTCTCCTTCTCTTCTGTCTATCGCTCTCATTCTTTATCATTATTATTATTATTATTATCACTACACTTCCACTACCCAAGTTCACAACCTCAGTCAAACTAAGAATCAGACTTTTTTCATTTAAAATGGTTTTAGTGGTGCCATTAAGCATTTAGGTGCTCTTTCATTCACTGCAAATATAAATATTGATATGACTTCATTATCTACTATTTTTATACTTCGATTTATATTCCTCTAATCATTAATGATTAGTGATATTTTTCATATGGGAATTGATAGCTTAGATTTCTTCCTTTGAAAATTACCTTTTGACAATTTATCAACCAGGAAATGGCTCTTTTTCTTATAAATTTGAATCACTTCCTTTCCTCTCTCGGAAATAAGAACTTCATGCTGTAAAGATATTCCTCCCAGTTAACTGTTTCTCTTCTAATTTTAACTGCATTGGTTTTGTTTGTGCAAAAACTTTTCTATATAAAAAAATTCTACATTTTATCTTCTGCGATTCTCTCTTTCCTTTTTTTGGTCATAAATTCTTCTAGCCATAGATCTGAATGGTAACTTCTTCCCTGTTTCTCTAACTTGTTTATGATGCTATCTTTTTCTTTATATTTGTCATACATCCATTTGGAACTTATCTTGGGATATGGTATGATGTGTTACACTAAACCAGGGGTTCCTAACATGGGATCTATATTTTTAAAATATTTTTGATAATTCTATTTATATATAATTTATGTCCTTTGTAAGCCTATGCATTTTATTTTATGTATTTAAAAATATTATACCAAAAAGAGGTACATAGGCTTCACCAGACTACCAAAGGGGTCTATGACACAAAAAAGGTTGACAATCCCTAATACAAACCTAATTTCTGCCAAAGTGTTTTCTATTTTCCTAGCAATTTTTGTTACAGTGAGTCCTTCTTACTCTAGTAGCTGGTACCTGAGTTTATCAAACACGATTCTACGTTCATTTGATGCTATACATTATGTACCTATTTTGTTTGATCAACTCTTTTTTTTAACCAGTATGAAATCATTAGGATTATTACAACTTTGAATTATAGTTTTAGATCTGGTACAGTTAAGAGTCCCATTTTTTTCACTATTCCATTAAGATATTTGATATCTTGTTCCTCCAGATGAATTCCATTTTCCCCCTACCTCTACAAAACATTCCTTTTAGTTTGTTTGGTATGTTGCTTAATAAGTAAATTAATGTTGTTAATACTGTCATTTTTATAACACTGGCTTGGTCTACCCATAAGCAAATTAATATTTTTCCAACTGTTTAGGTCTATATTTCTGTAATAAGTGTTTTGTGTTTGCAATCATATATTTCTAGTTTTTTCTGGGTAAACTACCAAATGTTTTATATATTCTATAGTTATTTTGAATGACACTTATTTCTCTTTCTATCTCTTCCTGCTGGGTTTTGTTGATAATATACTGAAATATTGGTGATTTATATGTATTTATTTCATATCCTGCAACTTTGTAGAAGTTATAATTTCAATTAATTTTAATTGACTTTTGACTTCCAGATAGTGATATCTGCAAAAATCAATAATTATTCTATTTACTTATGTTGATTTATTCCCTTAATAGTTTTATTGCTATGCCTAGTATTTATAACAATATTTTAAATAGAAGTATTAATAATGGATATCTTACTTTACCCTTGAAATGGATGGAAAAGTTTCTAATTTTTTCTATTGCATAGGTGTGCTCTCGGTTTTGCAGATCTCACTATCTAGAAAACCAGACTAGGTCCAAGCAAACCAGGAGCAGCCTTTGGGAGTGAGAGAATTAGTGGCATCAGTGGTGGTTTCCAGACCTCTCAGCCCACAGATGATAAGAGAATTGGATAACAGGTCAGAAAGAATTTTATAGGGGTCCCTTTGCTGGTAGCAGGGGCAGGACTCTGTTGAATTGTCTATAATTGGATCTGGGTGACAGTCACAGGTCTTAGTCCTAGTGCAAAGAATAGCACTAGTACAGCAGAACTTGCAACTGCAGGGGAGCAGGGACCATAGTCACAGTTCCAGGGTTGAAAAAAGTGCTTGTGGTACCTCACAAACCAGTATACAGTACAGGAGAGTAGTAAATACACCTCTCCCTAGATCATACCACCTTGGAAGAGCCAAAAACTTACAAGTCTCCAACATCACCTCTGAAAACAGCTGCACAAAAAACATGAAACTTACGACAGTGCCCCCTCCACTTGGGAAGCAGAGCCCCACTTCAGCATAGAGTTAAAAGTCAAGAAACAGGTGGAAAATGAGCAAACTACAGAAAAAAATTCTGACCACATAAAGTTACCATGGTGACAAGGAAGTTCAGAACACACACTCAGAAGGAGACAACAAAGTCAAAATTCCAGCATCCAAAGTCTCAGGACATGGAAGAGTTCAAAAAGGATTTCAAAAAGCAAGGAAGAGAAGCAAAGGAAAAATTGGGAAGAGAAATGAGAGTGATGGAAGAAAATCATGAAAAACGAGTCAACAGCTTGGTAAAGGAGGCACAAAAAATATTTAAGAAAATAACACCTTAAGAACAGAATAGGCCAAATGGTAAAGGAGGCACAAAAATCCACTGAAGGGAAGAATGCCTTGAAAAGCAGAATTGGCCAAATAGAAAAAGATTTACAAAAATTCACTGAAAAGAACTCCTTAAAAAGTAGAACTAGCCAAATGGAAAAGGAGGTGCAAAAGCTCACTGAAGAAAATAATTCCTTAAAAGTTAGAATTGGGCAACTGGAAGCTAATGACTTGATCAGATATCAAGAAACAGTATCAAAAGAATGAGAAAATAGAAGAAAATGTGAAATATCTCATTGGAAAAACAAATTACCTGGAAAACAGATCAAGGAGAGATAATTTAAGAATTATTGGACTACCTGAAAGTCATGATTAAAAAAAAAAAAAAGGCAAAGCCTAGACATCATCTTCCAAGAAATTGTCAAGGAAAACTGTCCTGATACTCTAGAACCAGAGGGTAAAACAGAAATTGAAAGAATCTACCAATCACCTCCTGAAAAAAACAGCAAAATGAAAACTCCCAGGAATATTATAGTCAAATCCCATACCTCCCCGATCAAAGAGAAAATATTGCAAGCAGCGAAAAATAAACAATTCATACAACTGTGGAGCCACAATCAGGTTAACACATGATTTAGCAGCTTCTACATTAAAGGATAAAAGGGCTTGGAATGATATTCCAGAGGGCAAAAGAGCTAAGATTACAACCAAGAATCATCTACCCAGCAAAACTGAGTATAATCCTTCAGGGCAAAAAATGGACATTCAATGATATAGAGGATTTCAAGCATTCCTGATGAAAAGACCAGGGCTGAATTGAAAATCTGACTTTCAACTATAAGATGCAAAAGAAGCATAAAAAGGTAAACAGGAAAGAGAAATCACAAGAGATTTGATAAGGT